TTTGAGCCAGAGACGAACGAACACGTTCAATTAAGAGTAACATTTAAGAGATAATAATGTAACGTTATATATTTATTGTACACTTATTATATAGATTTTTTTTTACCCAATAATTACGGGGACATATTGAATTGAGATTTTAAATCTTACCTCCATTTTGTACAGCGTACAAAACTCATCCAGACAAGATCACAACAATATGATCAAACTCTGTAAATAATAAATCATCTCTGATTTCATTTTCAATACAATCAAAAACGGAGACTCAAGACGGCAAGACAGCGTTGCTATTGACGACGGTCATTATAAGGAAATGCCACAGAATAGAATCTTGCTTTAAAAAGTGCATAGAGCTGCTTGTTTTATTTGTTATTTTTAGATTTATTAAATATAAAACTTTTAAAAATGTTTTCAGTGTGGGCATAAGTTGTTTTGAACACTTTCATCTCGTTTTAACAAAACCGTGATACTATTGATAATCCCGATAATTTTGGTCAATATAATCGTGACATGAAATTTTCATACCATCCCATCCCTGATATATATATATACCCAAATGCGTCGATGTAATCATTATGAGCGCTGGAGACTCTGATGTACTGTGTTTTCAATACATACTGGCAGCCTGAGGGCGCTGGCGCCCTGTGCAAAGTATAGTCCATATATAGAACACACGAAGAAGTGCCATAATCATGTGACATTCCAGGAACTGCCTGACAACAAAGCTAACAGAGATCGCAGTGACATGCAGATAAAGAGGTTTTGAAGACAATAAACATGATTGAAATGATATTTGATTTACCTGTGTTCTTCGAGCCATGTCAGGTATTTTCATAATAATAGATTATATTTATAATGTAATGCTAATCGATATAGACTTTATCATCGTGCAGAATACTATAAAATAATATATTTTCTGTCTGATTTTTTTTATCTGAAGCCAAATCAGATCACAGAAGGTTATTTAAAACACTCGACTTGTGCTATAAAGTAAGTTTTAGAGCATAAACATGGTTTTAATCTCATAAATCGTCGTGTGTAGAGGGTATGCGCATGACGTCACCGTCGGCCGGAGTGAATGCGGTCACGCCCACAAGTGGCAAAAAGACTGAGCGGCAGCATTTGTTTTCAGCGTGAACGCCGTGAAAATCACACAAAACACATCTAAAACGGGAAAGAGCTTTGCGATCGACTGTACAACTAGATTTGACCAGAAATCTGAGGTACTGTATATTTTTACAGACTGCAAAAAGCTACAGAACAGACTATATTCTGCATAATTGGATGTTTTTAAATAAACACTGACAAAAAACTATACAAGTTTTAGGGCTGGACGATATGATGATATACAGTATAACATTAATGTAAGTGATCACTCGGATTTAGACCTATCTATATTGTATTTATATAAAACGTTTACAGGCAAATTGTCTTCATTTAATTCCCCGGCGTCGAAATCAGGCACATATAAATGTCAGGAAACACGATTCCTGGCTGCATGTCAATATCCATGGATCACTGGATCTTTGATAAGTTGTAAGGAACACTATATCGAGTCCAACTTTTAGTTTAAACTGATAATAGTTTGTTTTACTCGCGTTAACGCAGTTTCCCCTATTAACTCCAGTCACGCAGCAGCTCTTCTGCCACTCAGTCCCGCTGAGGGGGGCGTGTTCCGGCGGGGAAGTGACGTTAATGCATTCCCTCTATTGATGGTGTGCTAAGCTAACATGCTAGCTAGCCCTAGGTGCACCTGCCAGCTAGCTGTTATTTTTATGAATATTTCTAAATAGGAATGCTTGCTGAAATGTTTCTTTTTTCAAGAAGGTCATTTGATATAGTTTCAAATATGAGGTGAGAACTTTGATCAAAGAGATTAGGAATTGAAACAGTGTGAATAGCCAGTCGTTAGTAATTATAATGAAGACAAAAGAAAAGCATATTTAGAGCCATAACCTGGCTGGAGAGGTGTGAATGTGTGCAGGGGAGACTGACACTGAATGGGGATCGTTTACACCACAAAACAATAGAGACAATAGACTGAATAGATGCTTAGAACATGACAATAAACATCAGTTTGCATTTTAGAATCTAATCAAAATAAAGTCATATGACATGATCTTGAAAAACATTTAACTAAGTAAAGAGTTTTAAACTTGTCATCTTCAGATTTTAAATATAACATGGTCAGACATGTGGCTTTAGCTGCAGTGCATTTCTAGATTGATACAATGCCAACTTCAATTTTATTTTCATGAAGATATTTTATAAAAATAAATTTCAAACTTGACAAAACTTTGAAGCTATTTATAACTATTATTTATAATTCTACATTTACAATAAACTGCCAGGTGTCAGCTTTCAAATGAGATCATACTTGTGCTTTTAGTACAAAGGGTTCATGAACTGTATCTGTTTCAGTTTGGGAATGCCATTTCTGGGGATTTTTCAAAAGTGGGGTTGCAGCTTAACAGGTTAAACACACTCAATCTCACCTGGCAAAACACCATTGATGTTATCCAATGGGAAGAATAAACTTAGTGGTAATAGTAATGTTGTTGAGACAACAAAGTTTTATATTTTGAGTAAAGACCTTAATAAATCGATCCCAAAATTTGAATAGTGCGTTATGTTGTTAAAATAACTAAATAACTGCTTTTAGTTTGTTTAACTGTAAAAGTGATGCAAAACCAATGCTTATTCAGCTGCGCAAATACATTTGTGTAAAAAAATGTTTTTCTGAATATAGAGTTGCTTGGACCTAAAAGATTTCCACGCAGGTATTTTTCACATTTGTAATCCAGGATAAATGCTAATCCAATTCAACCCTGATAATAAATTCATTAAAAATTCATAGTTTTTCATCTCAACTTCAAAGGGTGTGTGTTGTTACTGGATTCTAGAATATATTTTATCTGGGTATTGGTTTTAGTAACAGAATATATTCCGATGCAAAAGCTAAGTGCTATTTAAATTTTCTTCTAGAATTATAATTTTTATCAAGCTTGTATACAAGTTCAGTAATTTCACTTAAATGACAATTAATAATTTTCATTGCCATTTAAGTGAAATTACTGTATTTTATCAAATTTATTTTAATATATGAAATGTATTATCAGGTTTGAATTTAATATTGTTAACGTGTTAGCTAAGAGGCATGATGTAGCGGCCACGCTGCTTCTTTTTGGTGACCGATAACATTGGTGGGCACGCTTTGTTTTGGGAGCATTTTGGTGATGGTAAGTAACAGTATTCTACAGGTACATATTTAATAAACGCACATTGTTTACTAACTTTGTTTTCACATAGTTTTTTAACAGAGTTTTAAGTTTCTCACCTGAAGATTCCTTGGATTCAATCAGGTAGTAGCTAGTGCTAGGAGGGGGAGAAAAGTAAGTTGAGCTTGGTTAATGTTCTCCATCTATATCTCTTATCTATAGCTACATCTGTCAATTCTGCAGAGCAGTCAGAAGCCCCAGCCCACAAGGTGTTTTGAGCAAGGATGCCAATTTCTCCACTGCCCCTTTTGCCCACTTTATAAGGGTGACTACTCAAAAGTGGAAACACATTTACAGTCCCATATGAAAACAGTGGTACAGCATGGAGGTATGTTTACTGATTCATTGGCTGATTCATTGGTTTAGATTAATAAGTTGTTTTGATATGAAGAAGGTGAGGACACTCACCGTGGTCAAGAAGGCACTTGTGTTTGGACCAGTTATTAAAGCCTGCTTTGTTTTTTACCTTCCTTTCAGAGTTTGCAATGTATACCTGCAGATTGGGCTGCAGAAAGGAGTCCCACTACCACTGCTGTGCTTGTATTCAAATTTTTCAAAGAAAAAAACAACTGCTTAGACACCTCAGCACATGCCACCGTCAGCCAGCAGAAGGCCAACCCCACCCTCAGCCAGCAGAAGGCCAACCCCACCCTCAACCAGCAGAAAGCCAACCCCATCCTCAACAAGCAGAAGGCCAACCCCACCCTCAACCAGCAGAAGCCCAATCCCACCCTCAGCCAGCAGAAGGCCAACCCCACCCTCAACCAGCAGAAGGCCAACCCCACCCTCAACCAGCAGAAGCCCAATCCCATCCTCAGCCAGCAGAAAGCCAACCCCATCCTCAGCCAGCAGAAGGCCAACCCCACCCTCAGCCAGCAGAAGGCCAACCCCACCCTCAACCAGCAGAAGGCCAACCCCACCCTCAACCAGCAGAAGCCAAATCCCATCCTCAGCCAGCAGAAAGCCAACCCCATCCTCAGCCAGCAGAAGGCCAACCCCACCCTCAGCCAGCAGAAGGCCAACCCCACCCTCAGCCAGCAGAAGGCCAACCCCACCTTCAGCCAGCAGAAGGCCAACCCCACCCTCAGCCAGCAGAAGGCCAACCCCACCCTCAGCCAGCAGAAGGCCAACCCCACCCTCAGCCAGCAGAAGGCCAACCCCACCCTCAGCCAGCAGAAGGCCCACTGAACCCAATGGAGGCCATGGTAGAAGCCCGGCTTTACCCTGTGGAGGCCATGGTAGAGCTTCATCAACCAAAAAAAACAGTTGGCCTACGTTCGAGGGTCAGAAAGGTTAAGTGTACAAAGTGTGAATTAGTGCTAAATAAAAATTTTTTAAAGCAGCATATGAGACGACGCCACTCAACTGTCAAGGAGGAAATTACAGCCGACCGTCATCTGGCATGTCAGCCAATAGATATTGAAAGGGGAATTTTTGCTGTTGTAAAGTCCTTCAGCAGCAATAGTGCACCCATCCATGTACAGAAGCGGACGTGGGGGACAAGCCATCAAATTCGTTGTGAGCTGGATGCCTGTGTGCGCAACACTGAGGTGATGCATAGGAGTGGGTTTATATCCTTTGATTGTGCCCATCTGCAGTCCCTGCAATACTGCCCACCACCCCTCAGCCCTCAGATAGAACTAAGGGAGGATGTTCTGAGGGACATTGTCAGTAGCGGGTGGTTCAGCGAGGAGCGGAAGAGGGCATGTCTTCTGAAAAAAAACGGCGGCAAACACTGAAGGGATCCCCTTCAGTGTTGATGTTGAGGTGGGAACCTCTTCCTCAAGAAGATATGTTTCCATTTATGAGGCAAATCTGTCTTACTATAACAAGTTTGGCAGAGTGATGGTCATGTTTGACACAGCAAATAACACGTGGCATTGCCATTGTGTTAAAGCCAAACAGGCCTGTGTCCACAAGGCCATTGCGAAATGGCACTTTTTCCAGACAAGAAAGGAGCTCTTCACGGGAGATGAGAGCGAGGATACTCAAGATAGTCAGGGCTCTGAAGACAAGGTGGAAACTGTCACCTCAAGCGATTTTCAGTATCCCCCTCGAGATCAGGATTTGGGGAGAATTGTTAGGTACATTCACAACAAGAAAAGGCTTTCTGCAGACTTGCCTGCAAATGTGTATGGGTTGACAAGTGAGTCAGACGTGCCTAAACATCTGATGCCCAAAGAGTGTGTTTGTCCTGAATGTCCTGGTGATCTTCCCCTTGGTGAACCCCTGATCATCAGCAAATCAGCAAAAATCATTACTGTCAAGAGAATCATCGAGGGTCTGTGTCACATTTAAACTAAAATTGACAGTTATTCTTCCTTTTCCAAGTTGTATATACCACTAAATGCTCCAATGATCTACTTATACATTTCAGGTGTGACAACTTATGGGAAAAAATGCAGTAGATGTGGAATGATGGTGCGATACCAGGAATGGGAGGATGGCTTACATAACTTTAATGACAAAGTCATTCTAACCCTCCATTTTTGCCTGCATCTACGGAACTGCCTCCAGGTCAAATGTTAAAAAATTCAATACGTGAAATTTATGTGATTTATGAATATTATGTGACCATACTGCATGTTAAATGCGTAACTCTGATATTCCATATCTTTATGCACAGTAGGCCATTAATTAAGCAATTAGAACTCAGTTTGAGGCTTCTTAGCTGACAGTCATGACATTAGGCCATTAAATACATAATTGGAACTTTCCCAGTTGCACACTTGCATGGAATTACATTTTCTAATTTATTATTGTTTTATTCCAGACTCACACAGCTCTGGGTCGAGCCATCGAGACATGGGAGCTGACGTTCGGACAGCAGTACCCAAACAAAAATAGCCTAATACATGGATATCTACATTTTAAAGCACTGACAGACCATGATTATAACTTCTCCTGTGTCCGCTGTGGACATCACCCTCCTGTGGTGGTCATGGATCTCCACAAGAGCTGTGTCTTCAGCTTGGCAGGTACAATACAGGTTTTATTTGTATGGTGAACCCCTCCAGGTGGTCTAACTACAGTATATTGATATTTTTATTTTATTTTAGTCAGTGAACTAGAGGATCCACCAGATGGATTTGATGGGGAGGTGGACATTGATGAGTTCTGGGACTCTCTATGTTTAGATAGGATTGCACGTGGTTTTGTTCCAAGTAAGTGACTTTTTAAATATATTGTTAGTTTATAATGTTTCCCAGAGAGATATAATTCCTTTGTTACCTTTTTCCCCCTGTCTTTCTCACTCCACTTTAAGAATTACAAAGTTAATGTCTAGCCATCAATGCAGACTATTTTTCTATCAGGTGATAAACAAAATCCATTTGCCGTTAAACCTACGTACCACCACTGGGCCCCGTGGATTGGACCTCACACCCGCAAATCCAACAAGGTGCTCAATACAGAGCATGAAAAGGTCCACACAACAAGGCACCCAAAAGAACAGACAGAGATTGACGTAACAGAGGACAGGCTATTGGATGAAGTATCCAATTTGAAGGTAAACGGGTCTTTGTGTTTTTTTTGTTTGGTTTATTCTATAGAATCAATATAGCTAGTATAAATGTTTACAGTGTACACCTTTATTTTGGTAATCTATTACAGGTCCATGCCATCCGAAAGCTCTGCAGGGAGTGCGGAATTGATTCCCAAGGTTCCAAAATGGAATTACTTCTAAGGCTGAGAGAAGAAATGAAAACCCGAAGCAAATTTGATAAAATCTTTCAAAAGGTTTGGGGAGCATCTGGTAAGTAAAAAAAATGTCCCAACAATGTGGATCTTTTCTCATTGGGTTTACTGCTGGTAATTTAGTTTGACTTCCTTGTTCTCCTCAGGTGGCTGGGCTGTTGTTATGTGCCACTGTGGACAGGTTGTCTCGCTGAAATTTAACATTAGGGCAGAAAGTTCAAGGGACTTTACTGATTTATTGTTATCTTGGAAACACATGCCCAACATATGCATATATGACTTTCAAGAGGTCTGGCAGTGCATGCTAACCTTAGAGAGCCTGAGACGATACCTTTCCGCCCTCATGAGGGTAGGTTATTGGACCCCAGCCATGAAAACTTGCAGTACGCATCCAATGGTGGTATGGTCAATTTACCATGGCTTAACACTAGGAAAACTGTGCCGGACCCGGGTGTGCCATCCATTTACTGGGTCAGCAGACCACTATTGTCTATATGACACATTCCATGAGGGAAACACTAAAGACCCGAAAGATATCCTCCGGAGGATAAAGACGGTACCTGAACTGGCAGGGAGAATTAACAGCCAGGTTGCAGAACAACTCTTCTCAACCATGAAAAAAAACAACTATTACATGAACATGCTCTCGCCATCTACTCATGTTTTCATGATGCGTAATGTTCTTCACAATTACAATCAGCGGAAGAACAAGAAGATCAAGGAGGAATTAAAGAAGCTTGTGACTCCTGAAATTCAGCTGTGTCTCAATGAGCATGGTCAGGCAGAATTCTGTGCCTCTCAGCCAACAGGGCTTAGCCCCGACCCAGTTGTTGCTGCCTCCTCTCAACCAGTAGAGCTTAGCCCCGACCCAGTTGTTGCTGCCTCCTCTCAACCAGTAGAGCTTAGCCCCGACCCAGTTGTTGCTGCCTCCTCTCAACCAGTAGAGCTTAGCCCCGACCCAGTTGTTGCTGCCTCCTCTCAACCAGTAGAGCTTAGCCCCGACCCAGTTGTTGCTGCCTCCTCTCAGCCAGCAGAAATGGGGTTTAGCTCAGACCCAGATCTTTCACCACCCTCTAAACGTAAGGAAATCTTCTCTATTGTATGCTTTGTATTAGTGATTGTGTATATTTATCCAATAGCACATTTCCTCTCATTTTTGTCTCATCTCTTTATTTTGATTTAGGTTCAAGGTTACAGTCGCTCTCCTCAGCTGTTGACCGTACTAATCCCAACTTTACAGTTGCTGATTGGAAACGAGAACCAAACGCAAGACTCTGTGAATTAGTAAGTTTGAGATTAGTTTTTGTGAATTAGACATTTTAAATATGCATGCATTCATAATGTTCTGTATATTTCCCCATAGCTGGACTATGTGCTGAATATTAAGGGTGACCCTAAGGAGGAAATTGTTCAAGCCAACAACTCAATCCTCACAAGGTCTGACTTTTGGACTTTGGGCCTAGAACGAGATGTTGAAGCAACGGTAAATCTGAACCAAGTGTTTAACTGTATTTCCTATGGTGTGAGCTTATGAATTGTCTTACTAATTAATCATAGTTTTTTTTAGATTGCAAATTGTTGTTTCAACATTATCGTCAAGGCTGCAAATGCACATGTAAGTTACATTTATTACATTTAACATAATCTGTGTATTCATGTTTCCTGACTGTATACTTTTGTTGCCTACACAAAGTGTTATGCATCTGTTTTCAAATAAAGGGCATTGCAACCGTGGCTGTGGATGCCTATGAGGTGGTCACCTGACTTCCTCCATATGAGGCTTCTCCAATTGCTTAAATGATTGTGAGTAGTAATGTAACAGAACTTGTACCTCAGCTTTAACCTCATGTTCAAGTTCCTCTTTGAACTCTTTTTATTTTCCTCAGTGTGACTTTGCATCCAAAGACGTGGTGCTTCTCCCTGCCTGGCAGCCTGGGCACTGGACATTGTGTGTGAGTAAACCCACTTTGACCTGGCTTTTTTTCTATCTGAAATACTGTGCTGTTATTATTGAATCCTCATTCATGCTTTGTTGGTACATTTCATGCGGTACTCATACGGAGGCCCGGTCGCGCGGGCACTCTCTCTCTGCGGAGCCAGGCGAAAGTATACCGTCTCAAAACTAAGTGCTGTCTTGCTCTCTCTTCCTCGCACATATTAATCAAAATAAATCGACACGATGGTTAGGTCGGAAGACTAAAGTTTCATGTGGAGCATTCAGAGATTTTTTTTTTTTTCTGAATTACCCGCTGGGTGTGAATTGTGCTGAAATATGTTGCCTTATTTTCTCTGAAAAGCGTTCCGCACATTCAGCTGACAAAAACCACACTTTAAATAAATGGAAAAAAAACTATCCAGTGATGAAATGTTTTGTGATGACACAAATCTTGTGGGATGTCCTAACCGGCGGGATAATCACACAAACGCGCACACGTCCGATAATGACACGTCCAATTCGCGAAATAATGACTCCCGTGAACCGATTTGTTTTAATGAATGGTTAAAACAACTGATCTTTCCAACACTGAACTCACGAGACGTCTGAATCGGTCTATAACTAATCGGTAACCCTTTACAATAAGGTTTCATTTATTACATAAATTACATAAAGTACAGTTTTCTTACTCAAGTGTAAGCTTTAAAAAAAAAAAAAACCACCCGAAAAAGCATATGACTACATTTTTCCACACAGTGCTATCAGGAATCAATAAGAGAATCGTTAAAGAATCGGATCGATAAGTATCGTCAGTGGCATTGATATTGATCAAATCTTATCAATTCCCATCCCTACTCACAACTCACCCCTGCTCAAGTTCAAACGCACAAATTACCAACGACTTCAACTCGTGCAACCAAAATAACCCAATCTGTTGTTTATTTCATTTGTAAAGACATGCGCCCGCTCAGTGTGGTTAAAAACGAAGGTTTCCGTTATATGGTGCAAATGCAAACAATGGAAATTTGCTCACTAAGAACCTGTGAAACACAATCCCAAACTGGCAGTTTGATTTTCTGTGTACCGAATTGTTTACTTAAAGTAAACTTGTTTGACTTTTATGCACATCATTTCTTTTTTTTAAATATTACTTTTTCTAAAATGATAGTCCTACTTTAAAAAAATCCCAATATATCGCCTTATGCACAGTATCGAAATATATTGCAATATATTGTATCGTCATACGTATCATATCGCCAGATTCTTGCCAATACACAGCCCTACTATTTCCTATAACTGTAATTTTGTTTGAAGTAAGATTTGGGTCTTTAACCAAGCCTTATCTTGCCATTCCATGGAATAAAATTCTTAACAGGTTCTCAAACCAAGACTGAGGACTATGCAATATTTTGATTCAAGACAGCCCAGTGGCTTTGGAGATGGCCGCTACCTAGAAATCTTCAGGTTTTTCATAGAAAGCTATGATCATATCTAACTCTGGGTCTTGCAGCAGTAACTATTTTTCTATTCAAAGCAATTTCCATGTTTACACCCTTAAAGTGGTAATTCATTGGTTCACTAGAAACCTCATCTGCATCTTTACTTTAGAATTTGTTTATTTAGACCTCCCAAATACTGCTTTGAGAACCCAAGAACTTAGATACAGTATGATCATATTTTATGTTTTTTGGAAGTATGGTAGTTCTGTTTTGGACTATACTTCCTTTTTGTTTCATTCTGCATTTTTTGTCCCTGTTCATATGTTCCAAGTCCCTACTAGATATTGCTGCTACTCCCAGGTCACTTTTTAGCATGGGAAGGTGTAGTTCCATTTTTAAACTATGCTCTTAGGGCTCAAGGTGGGTATTAAGTCATGGTAGAGATTCAGCAATTCCTAAACGGGGTTCAATGTTACATTTGAAAGACATGAATTGCAACTAACACGTCTTCCAAACCTTTTCAGTAACCTGGCACATGCTGTGTCCAATGGACCCTGGAAGTCATTTTACTTGGCTGACGAGGTAAAATGTGTGGCTGTAGCACGATTCACTGCATTTAGTAGAGTAGCGTACATAGGCAGGCCATTTTTTTTTTATTATGATTTGATAAAGTGACGCAGATGGACCCTAGTTGCTGCTAAATGGTGTCACATTTTTTGTATGATTAAAGCTACAAAATGAGTGTAGATATCAGTAGGCATCATATAATAAGAATCATTGATAATAAATCACACACCCCTTTTACCATCACAGGGAGCATCTCCCCAGCATCAGAGCAACAGCTGTGGGGTGTTTATGCTGATGGTGAGATGCAATATTTTCAGAAGTGATAACTGATTACTAGTTTGCAGAACAACTAACACATTTGTATGTTCATTTCACTATGCAATGTATTCTACCCTCCAAAAGCCATATGATTTCATTGAGGTGAGTTCGTTCAAATCTCAATCAGATTTGTAGTGTGAAATATAAGGCTTTTAATAATTTAGTCCAATCTGGAGGCTACAGTTAACATGCACCAATAGGCCATACACTTAACTTTGTCTGCAGGTACTGTACTCACTGGAGGAGATGGCTACATCTGTAAAAATGTACACTGCCATAGTTCCCATCAATGAGTAAACAGTACTGTAACATGGATTTGTATCAGGCTATGAAGACATTTAAAGCATAACTTTACTTTCAGGTGGACATGCTCTCTATCAGGAGGTGGTGGTGTGGGCAACTGCTGGAGACCTTTACGCTTGAAAGGTGTTACATACTGCGTCCATATTTAGCTATTTAATTATATTTGGTGCTCATGAAGATGGAAGCCTATACTGATCTCATTTCTTTCTCTAGCCCTGCAAGACTAGCTGACACACCCATCTCACCCTCTCCATCTCCCCATATAAGCCATCGGTAACACTTTACAATACGGGTGCACTAATAAGCATTAACTCATGCTTAACTAATGCACAGATAATACTCAATTACTGTGTAACTAATGATTATCTAAGCTATTCATTAATGATTACCACATTAGGAACTAATTAAGAGTCTGTAAGGTTAATGTATTAGTTCATACATGAATTGTTATTAATTAAATATGTAATTGTGGATTAATTCCCTAATAACTAATTTTTTTAACTAATAGTGTTAATTAATATGTTAATTACCAGAATGAGCCAAAGCCTTGTATTTCAACTTCCACATAATACAGGTACACTAATATGCATTAATACATGATTAATTACTTCATTGTTAGTGCAAATTCATGTGTAAATTACTACAATTACTAAATGACTAGTTAATAATGATGTGCCTCAACAAGTAAAGTCATAACATAATGATACCTTTGCAAATCATTAGCTAATGATTAATTAAAGCAGACAACTGGAAGTTGAAGTGCATAGCTTTGACTAATTGTGGTAATTAACACATTAATTTACACTATTAGTTAATAAAATATGTTATAAAGGAATTAATACACAATGACACATTGAATTAATAGCAATTCATGTATTACTTAATCTATTAATCACATAGACTCTTTATTAATTGCTGATGCAGTAATAATTAATTAATGGTTTAGTTCTTCATGAGTTATACATTAACTCATGATTATCTGTGCATTAGTTAAACATGAATTAATGCATATTAGTGCACCCGTATTGTAAAGTGTTACCGTTATGTTAATCTATTCATTAGCCTATTAAATTCAGACATATTCTTCTTAGACAACTGTATTGGTTTCGGACTGGATCTCAAAGGGTTCGTTTATTTGAAGCAACTAACTTGTATCTAGGGGAGGGCCATAGAGAGAGCTGTGTCCTCAACTCGTAGAAGATAATGAACATGTACTGCACAACCACAAAATTCTCATATTTAGCTACCATGGAGCCTCCCTAAAATGATTGTGTTGTAATAACAGTAAACTAAACCTAATCAAGCCGCTCAAAAGCTGGTTTAGTCATCTAGTTAGATGCTAGCTGACGTCTGCCTATGCTTAAAGTTAGGACTGAGATATAAACTTGTCCTACACGTAAATGTAATTTTATTAAGATGTAATTGGACTAACGTTCGGTAGATGGCTTAGCTTGCTAACGTTAGTTTTATGCTAACCGCAACATTACAGACTACTGATCTTATTTTGAAACTTCTGTTTGAGAAAAACTAACTAGCGAATGTTGTTATATTATCCCGAATAGCTGGAAAATGTTGTAATATTAACCCGGATGTTGACAGTTTGCAGTTCAGCAGAAGAGGCGAAGAAGAAGGGGGCATTTCAGTCTGCGGGAAAACGGGAACCCCCACCAGCACGAGAACACCCATTTGTGGGCGCAGTTGGATGTTATTGTCAAAATCCCTCTCCAGAACATTCTCATTCACGGCTCCCTGCTGGTGGAGTGATCTCCCGTCCCTCATCCGGAATGCTAGCCTTGCATGCCAGACCTACATCATGTTAGGTCTGCGAACTCTCCATTGACATGCCTCAATCCGAGGGGCGGGATAAACGGTTACCTTTCAAAATCCCTCTGCACGCAATAGGACAGCGCTACAACCAACCAGAGCAACGAACGGTTGTGGATGAGTGAGTTCCATGCGTTTTTCCACCAGCGGAGCTTTGATATATTAAACTTTTGCCGTATCAGGTCGGTAAAACTCCGAACACATCTTCCTTTTTTAAGAATGACTTAAGTGACGTTCTCTTAACTCCAAGTCCTCCAGAGTCGCGGCCAAAGCCGATTCGAAAGACCGCTGCATCTTCATTGTTTTCAAGTAGCAGGGAAATCACCTATGGAAATCACGCGATCATTGTGTTAAGCCCGCCCGCCGACTCTATACACGATGTGATTGGCCCGACCAGTTTTTGGTTTTTCCAGCTCAAAAGCCTATGGAGAGTTGCTAGACCATACTGGCTGCGAAATAATTTCCGCTGCCGCTAGGGTGCGTCTAGATTTCTAGGCTACCGGAAGGCAGAATCCCTGACAGCATTCAAAAGACAACTGAAAACTCATCTCTTCCGTCAGCACTTAACGTAAAAAAAAAGAAATAAAAACCTTTCCTTTTCCTTTAAATCCTTGCTTATCTGGCTTATGCTACTCCGAGCAATGTCTGAACTTTGTATTTTGAGCACTTCTTGCGTTGTTTTTGTCAATTCATGATGACTCGCTTGGTTTAGTCCTCAGTTGTAAGTCGCTTTGGATAAAAGCGTCTGCTAAATGACTAAATGTAAATGTTAAGTTACATGACATTGTTCTCCTGCTGTTTTATTGACATCTTTCCACAGCTGAAATACTGATTGATCCATTTTTACTAACGATACGACACGACACGTGTATTTACAGTTCGAATTTCCTAATAAAACTGACAGAATTTGAAAGCTGGGACTGTGTTTCATGTTAAAGGTTGCGTGCTCTGTCTTGTCTGTCTGACAGTTTACTCTTTTCTTTGTGATTTTTCATTTCCTAAGAAAATGTATGTGTGACATGCAGGGACGTGCACAGGAATTTTGAGGGGCAGTTGCTCTGACCTGAAAAAAGGTTGTTTTTTATTATTATTATTATGCATGTTGAAGCAATTCTTGATTTATGGTTATTATTTACTGAGGGATGTACATCCATATTGACTAGTATGTCCAGCTAATCAACATTTTAAATTCAATATAGCCTATAAATCAATAGTCAAGCAATGTCAAATTGTCAATACATTGCTTGCATAATTAGTGCAGTTGTTTAGAGACTAGATAATCAATGTCTTGTTTTATAATGTGTACTTTGATGGGAGTGCCATCATTCACGTGCATGTATTATACAGTATGTCTGGTCTCCACATATTTCTGCTTGAAAAATGCGAGTTTCATTTCGTGCACGCGCATGAACGCACGATAACACACGCGACGCGGTTATGTTTTCCGAGCTGAAGTAAACAAACACCGTTGCACTTTGTCGTTTATCAAAAACAAACGTAATAAATAATTGTATTTTACTCTCACTTTTGTTAGGCAAAAGTGATGCAAGAGATGCACTGCCTGCCCAGCTAGGTTAGCAAGACCGAAAAACATCAAACTTTGCTGACACCAAACTTAGAGAGGAGAGAACACAAGTTTACCTGATTGTTGTTCCCGCAATTCACTCTCATGGTTTTTTTCTTCTTCCTCTTTTCGTGACCAGAAGGATAGTTTCGCTTCATTTTGTCATGGATGTTGTGGATTAATTGACCCGCTATGACACGAGATGGAGGCGGGGTCTTACGCACCGGTCGCGTGCAGTCTATGGTCGCGTGCAGCGCTGCAGCCACGTAAACAGTTGAGCTGAGTGCCCGAATGGAAGTGAATGAGGCTTTGCGAATAAAAAAAAAAAAAGTATTATTATTTATTTTTTTATCTAGGCCTACGTGAAATCCATTGTACGATTTTTTTATTTTTATTTTTTTCTCGGAAGGGCAACCTGAGCAACCCCCCTGTGCACGTCCCTGGTGACATGAAGGTGTGAGAACAGTGTCATTGTGTGAGTCTCACGCTGAGTGTCTGATAGTTGGTTTAGCCGTGTTTTTATGGCCCTCAGTTTGTAATTTGTCCGTTCTTGTCTACGTTAACTTAGTTATTATCCTGCACTTTTGTTTTGATCTGAATTGTTAATAAGCGTGACCACTGGGCATAGATCTTGCCTCAACTCTGTTGCAATCAGCACGGTGAAAATAAATAAAAAGTTTATATCTCTATGTTTTTATATAATGTATAAATCATCATAGACATTACTGAATATAGAGTTACATTCTATATTTTTCAATATATTCAGATTTAGGAGGGTTGTAGCTTGACACAAAACGTATATATTTATAATGAATTCAATTAATAATTACGTTTATAGTTTGCTCTGCTTTATTCCTATTCATGTTTCCTCAAGTTAAAATGTGTAAATACATTTATGCCTTTTGATCCAAAAAATGTAATAAAATGTTGTGCTTTGTAACATTCTAAAATATTAATTTTAGGCCTACTCAAAAAATTATTTTAAAGGTACAATATGTAAGTTTTCACCACCAGAGGTTGCATGTTGTCAAGCTTTGCTTTTTCGTGCACAATTTCCCCAATTGAAAAGGACAGACACATCATCAACGAAGGCCTTAACTGGATTCCACTCTTCTTTTTATTGTATCAATTATTATGAATGTGAAAAACCTTTAACAGAAATAAAAATACAAAATATGTAAATTAATTGCAAATAAAGCTAATTAAACATCCGTTGTTGTCATTTTTTGTATCTCTTTTGAAATGCCGCACTCTCAAACGATATATTAACAAGCTTCATACACTTTATCACATTTTTAATGTGTATTTGAAATCAGATCACGTTTAACGATCTGCTTAATCACACGTGAACTTCAGAAATAATTTGTACCGTCACTCTCTCCCGCGATTAAATCGAAATACAAACCAAAGGTACACAAATAAAACACCAGTAACTTAATAACATTAAGACTTGCTACACAGAACTAAATTTAGCTTGAAATAGTCACGTTATTAGCAGTAACAGAAAGTAGGTCACGGAAACTTTGACCGACATATATGCTGCGTCACAAACTAATCCGGCATTTGCCGCTACACAAGCGTCATTCTCTTCCATTCACAGAAGCAAACGAATTATTAAAGTTCTCACCGGCTGCCACTTCGGGATTTGACGATGTATTTACAGTTCGTGCACTTTTTCCGTGTCCAGCTGTTCAGTTTTCGACAGAGCTCGTGTCCGACTCGTCTCATACACACCAACTCTTTTTTTCTTCTCCCGTTTTCCGCCCCTTGCTCCGATTGGCCGAGATACTACTATAGTTTTTTTTTTTTTCCTTCCTTTTTTTTTCTTTTCTTGTTTATAATTAATTTATATTTTGTCCAGTTTGACTTGACACATGTTCAT